TAATTAATAATATTCTCAATGAAAATAAATGTATCTTCTAATATCTTGATATTTCCTTCATAAAACAAAAGTTGATTCTCACCAGAAAGTAAGAACCCCATTGGCCATTGGGAAGAACTCCCCCCTTACAGATCACTGAAACGACCAATGGTGTCAGTGGGGACTTATCTGAGAGGCAGGAACTGCTCATTACCCCCGGAGCCCCCAACAACCTCTGGAGGAGCCCTGATCTGGGGACTTGACTCCTCCTCCAGGACGCACTTCTTTAGCACATTATAACAGAACTCTACCGTACCGCTACGTCGCTGGACCTTCAGTGGTTGGCCGCAGCTGCAGGCACCACCCCAGTGCTGTATTTTAGAGCCGGTGGTCGGCTCTCTTGTAGTAACAACTGAAGTGGCTAGCTGGCTATTACAAGCAGTGGGAGGGGCATAATCCCCCCCCCCCCACACTGCCTTCCTCCTCTTGCTTGGATCTCCCGTCCCACTGGGAAACCCAAGCAACCAAGGCTGGTGCTACCACCAGGCAAACTAGGCATCTGGCTAAGGAACACCGCTGCCTAGGGAGGCAGAAAAAGCTGCTGGTCTCCCTACTCTGCACACTTGCCAAATCTGGGGGGGGGGGCTGAGATGGGCTTTGGCAGGATTTGGGTAAGGTAAGAGTAATTTATACTGAGAAGGGTAATTTGGAGGGGTTTAGCTAGAGGAGGGATTTGGGGGAATTGGTCCTAGGTGGAGGGATTAAAGGAAGATGAGTGATGCTGGGAGGGGGGATTTGTGCAAGGAGGGGGATCAGTGGGATTTGTGTTAGGAGAGAGGATTGGGGGGATTTGTGCTAAGAGGGGGGATTGGAGGAATTTGTGCTAGAATGGAGGATTCGGGAGAATTTGTGCTAGAAGGGGGGGGGTGGGTGTGCGTGCTGGGAGGGGGGATTTGTTTTCTAGGATGGGGGGATTTGGGGGAGAGGATTTGTGCTAGGGTGGAAAATCTGAGGGGACGGGAGAGGATATGTTCTGGAAGGTGAAGTAGAACTATAGGTGTTATTTTGTGTCCTGATCACCACCATACTAGTGTCCTGATCACCACCATACTAGTGTCCTAATCACCACCATACTAGTGTCCTGATCACCACCATACTAGTGTCCTGATCACCACCATACTAGTGTCCTGATCACCACCATACTAGTGTCCTGATCACCACCATACTAATGTCCTGATCACCACCATACTAGTGTCCTGATCACTATCATACCAGTGTCCTGATCACCACCATACTAGTGTCCTGATCATCACCATACTAGTGTCCTGATCATCACCATACTAGTGTCCTGATCACCACCATACTAGTGTCCTGATCACCACCATACTAGTGTCCTGATCACCACCATACTAGTGTCCTGATCACTATCATACCAGTGTCCTGATCACCACCATACTAGTGTCCTGATCACCACCATACTAGTGTCCTGATCACCACCATACTAGTGTCCTGATCACTATCATACCAGTGTCCTGATCACTATCATACTAGTGTCCTGATCATCACCATACTAGTGTCCTGATCATCACCATACTAGTGTCCTAATCACCACCATACTAGTGTCATGATCACCACCATACTGGTGTCCTGATCACCACCATACTAGTGTCCTAATCACCACCATACTAGTGTCCTGATCACCGCCATACTAGTGTCCTGATCATCACCATACTAGTGTCCTAATCACCACCATACTAGTGTCCTGATCACCGCCATACTAGTGTCCTGATCATCACCATACTAGTGTCATGATCACCACCATACTGGTGTCCTGATCACCACCATACTAGTGTCCTGATCACCACCATACTAGTGTCCTGATCACCGCCATACTAGTGTCCTGATCAAAACCACACACCATGTCCTGATCACCGCCATACTAGTGTCCTAATCACCATCATACTAGTGTCCTGATCACCACCATACTAGTGTCCTGATCACCACCATACCAGTGTCCTGATCACCATCATACTAGTGTCCTGATCAAAACCACACCATGTCCTGATCACCATCATACTAGTGTCCTGATCACCACCACACCATGTCCTGATCACCGCCATACTATTGTCCTGACCACCACAATACTAATGTCTTGATCACCACCATACTAGTGTCCTGATCACCACAACACCAAATCCTGATCACCATAATACTAATGTCTTGATCACCACCATACTATAGTAGTGTCCTGATCACAACCATACCAGTGTCCTGACCAACACCATATTAGTGTCCTGATCACCGCCATACTAGTGTCCTGATCACCACCATACTAATGTCCTGATCACCGCCATACTAGTGTCCTGATCACCGCCATACTAATGTCCTGATCACCGCCATACTAGTGTCCTGATCACCACCATACTAATGTCCTGATCACCACCATACTATTGTCCTGATCACCACCATACTAGTGTCCTGATTACCATCATACTAGTGTCCTAATCACCACCATACAAATTTCCTGATCACCATCATACTAGTGTCCTGATCACCACCATACTAGTGTCCTGATCACCACCATACTAGTGTCCTGATCACCACCATACCAGTGTCCTGATCACCACCATACTATTGTCCTGATCACCATCATACTAGTGTTCTGATCACCACCATACTAGTGTCCTGATGACCACCATACTAGTGTCCTGATCACCACTATATACCAGTGTCCTGACCACCGCCATACTAGTGTCCTGATCACCACCATACTAGTGTCCTGATCACCACCATACTGGTGTCCTGACCACCATCATACTAGTGTCCTGATCACCACCATACTAGTGTTCTGATCACCACCATACTAGTTGTTAGGAATGGACTGGCCAGCAATGGTGGGACTCACCTGCCTTTTGATCTGCAGTACCAGGGCTGGCCAGCGGGTGCTCCCAGCACTAACACCTGGAACTGATGATACTGGTGTATTTAAGGGATGGCCAGACTTGCAGACTCTGCCTTGGTGTTGTGTTTGTCCTGGGCCCTGTATCTGTCCTGCATCCTGTTTCTGTTCCTTTGCTGACTTCTCCTGCTCTGATCCTGGCTTGTGACCCTGACCATCCCTCTGTCTGACCCTCTGTACTACGCTGCTTGCTACCTGTTCTGATCCTGGCTTGTGACCCGACCATCCCTCTGCCTGACCCTCTGTACTATGCTGCTTGCTACCTGCTGAACCTGGCCTGTGACCCCGACCATTCTCCGCTTGCTCCCCCTGTACCTACCTGCCCTATTGATATTGACCCGGCCTGCCTGACGACGCTTGCTTGTATGTACTGTTATCTGTGGGTGGTTTGGTTTGGTTTGTTTGCACTGTATTATGTTTTAGTATTGCACTGCGTTTATGTTTGTATTGTTAGTGTTAATAAATTATATTTATCACATATCTGAGGTCTGCGTTTCCCTGCTTCAGTCACACACCTCTGGTCATACCTGGGAGCCCTGACATTACACCAAGGCCAATCCTGACCAGAAGTGGCTGCACAGGGAAGCCATCTTGGCTTGTTGATGGGAAGGATGGATCTGGATGAGGTTGAGTATTTATATCTGCTAGTGTTTGATGACAGGGAGTATGCTTATCAAACTCTGAAGGAGTATCCCCGGGATGAACTGCTAGAATGTATACGGCTCGCTCATGTTCTAGTAGATCAGGGCACAGAGTTCTCTGAGGTGCAGCCATTGATTGAGGTTTGTGCAGAGTTGGTTTCATCTGGTTCCCCCGAATGCAGGGATGAATTTTTGCCACCATTTAGTGCAGACCAGGTAGAGTCCCTGGTGTGGTTATTAGAGGATGATGTGGGTTACTTTCTGGAGCGTTATTCCACATGTTCACCACAGACACTAAGAGATTGTATAAACGCAGTGCAGTCATTGACCAGACAGGCTTTGTGTAAGCTCAGCTTTGTTCAACCCATACTGCAGACATGGACAGATTTGTTGCACCCAGCCTCAGTCAGCTTACAAAGACCCAGTCCTGCTTCTAACTCTACTCCTGTATTCCCACCAGCTCCTCCAGTTACAGCCCAGTATACTTGGCTATCTACCGCATGTCAGTACCCTGTTCCCACTCGCTGCACCTATCCTGCCTTTAACCCTGTAAAAAAGCCCTCTGTAGCAACTGCTCCCTCTCCTGTTCCATCCTCCAGTTCTTCTCTGTCTCCAGCTGCTCCATTCGTTTGCAGACCTGCGTTTACTTGCAGTGCTCCAGTAGTTAAAACCAGAAAAAAGCGAAAATTCTTTCCAACCAATACCATCCTGCCAGTATCCAAACCGGTGAGCCTGCCTTCCGTGGTTCAGCCTGAAGCCTGTACTCAGCCTGAAGCCTCTAGCCTGAAGCCTCTATCGGCCTCTACTCGGCCTGAAGCCTCTACTCGGCCTGAAGCCTCTACTCGGCCTGAACTACTCGGCCTGAAGCCTCTACTCTCTCTCGGCCTGATGACTCTACTCGGCCGGCCTGATGCCTCTACTCGGCCTGATGCCTCTACCCAGCATGATGAACTGATCCAGCCTGACGATCCTATTAGGCCAGTTGACTCGATGCCCGCTGTTGATCCAGATGATCCGGTACCTGATCCCTCTACCCCGCCTGCCCCGTCGTGCCAATTGACTCAGAGCCCGCTGTCGTACCTGGTGACTCGGTGCCCACTGCCTTGCCAGATGACGCGGTGCCCGCTGGCAAGCCAAATGACCTGATGCCTGGTGACCTAGTGTCCGCTGTCATACCCTGATGACCCGATGCCCGCTGTCGAGCCAGACAATCCGGTACCTGATGACCCGGTGCCCACTGTCGTGCCTGTTGACTCGGAGCCCACTGCCTTGCCAGATGACGCGGTGCCCGCTGTCGAGCCAAATGACCTGATGCCTGGTGACCCGATGCCCGCTGTCCAGCCAGACCATCCAATGTCTGACCCAGTGCCTGCGGTCATACCGTTGACTCGGAGCCCACTGCCTTCGTGCCTGGTGATGACTCGGTGCCGCGCCGCGAGCCCGCCTGATGCCTGGTGACCCTGTTGCCCGCTTGGGGGTCCAGACGCGCCCGACCCGCTCCGCCTGGGGATCCGGCGCCCGCCCCGCCCCGCCTGGGGATGACGCCGGTGCCCCCGCTGTCGAGCCAAATGTCGCTCCGCCTGAGGGCCCGAGACCTGTCGCTCCGCCTGGGGGTCCGGCACCTGCCACTCCGCTTGAGGGCCCGAGCCTTGCCCCTGTCGCTCCTCCTGGGGGTCCGGCGCCCGCCCGCTCCGCCTGAGGGCCCGAGACCTGTCGCTCCACCTGGGGGTCCGGCGCCCGCCCGCTCCGCCCTGAGGGCCCGAGACCTGTCGCTCCATGCCTGGGGGTCCGGCGCCCGCCCGCCGCTCCGCCTGAGGGCCCGAGACCTGTCGCTCCGCCTGGGGGTCCGGCGCCCGCCGCTCCGCCTGAGGCCCCCGAGACCTGTCGCTCCTCCTGGGGGTCCGGCGCCCGCCGCTCCGCCTGAGGGCCCGAGACCTGTCGCTCGCTCCGCCTGGGGGTCCGGCGCCCGCCGCTCCGCCTGAGGGCCCGAGACCTGTCGCTCCTCCTGGGGGTCCGGCCTCCGCGCCCGCCGCTCCGCCTGAGGGCCCGAGACCTGTCGCTCCACCTGGGGGTCCGGCGCCCGCCGCTCCGCCTGAGGGCCCGAGACCTGTCGCTCCTCCTGGGGGTCCGGCGCCCGCCGCTCCGCCTGAGGGCCCGAGACCTGTCGCTCCGCCTGGGGGTCCGGCGCCCCCGCCGCTCCGCCTGAGGGCCCGAGACCTGTCGCTCCGCCTGGGGGTCCGGCGCCCGCCCGCCGCTCCGCCTGAGGGCCCGAGACCTGTCGCTCCGCCTGGGGGTCCGGCGCCCGCCGCTCCCGCCTGAGGGCCCGAGACCTGTCGCTGTCGCTCCGCCTGGGGGTCCGGCGCCCGCCGCTCCGCCTGAGGGCCCGAGACCTGTCGCTCCGCCTGGGGGTCCCGCGCCCGCCGCTCCGCCTGGGGGCCGATGCCTGTCGCCCCGCCTGGGGGTCCGGATGCCTGCCGCCCCGCCTGGGGGCCCGATGCCTGTCGCCCCGCCTGGGGGCCCGATGCCTGTCGCCCCGCCTGGGGGCCCGATGCCTGTCGCCCCGCCTGGGGGCCCGATGCCTGTCGCCCCGCCTGGGGGCCCGATGCCCTGTCGCCCCCTGGGGGCCCGGGGGCCCCCGCCTCGCCCGTGCCTGTCGCCCCCTGGGGGCCCGGTGCCTGTCGCCCCGCCTGGGGGGCCCGGTGCCTGCCGCCCCGCCTGGGGGCCCGGTGCCTGTCGCCCCGCCGGGGGCCCGGTGCCTGTCGCCCCGCCCGGGGGCCCCGGTGCCGCCGCCTGGGGGCCGGGGCCCGGTGCCCGCCCTGGGGGCCCGCCCTGGGGGCCCGGGGGGCCCTGTCGCCCCGCCCGGGGGCCCGGTGCCTGTCGCCCCGCCCGGGGGCCCGGTGCCTGTCGCCCCGCCCGGGGGCCCGGTGCCTGCTGCTCCGCCCGGGGGCCCGGTGCCTGCTGCCGCCGCCCGGGGGCCCGGTGCCTGCTGCCCGCCGGGGGGCCCGGTGCCTGCTGCCCCGCCCGGGGGCCCGGTGCCTGCCGCCCCGCCCGGGGGCCCGGTGCCTGCCCCGCCCGCCCGGGGGCCCGGTGCCTGCTGCTCCGCCCCTGGGGCCCCTCCGCCTGGTGCCTGCTGCTTCGCCTGGTAATGCCCGATGTGCCTCTGCCCGGAGTCCTGCCCGATGTGCCTCTGCCCGGAGTCCTGCCCGATGTGCCTCTGCCCGGAGTCCTGCCCGATGTGCCTCTGCCCGGAGTCCTGCCCGATGTGCCTCTGCCCGGAGTCCTGCCCGATGTGCCTCTGCCCGGAGTCCTGCCCGATGTGCCTCTGCCCGGAGTCCTGCCCGATGTGCCTCTGCCCGGAGTCCTGCCCGATGTGCCTCTGCCCGGAGTCCTGCCCGATGTGCCTCTGCCCGATGTGCCTCTGCCCGGATGTGCCCTGCCCGATGTGCCTCTGCCCGATGTGCCTCTGCCCCGATGTGCCTCTGCCCGATGTGCCTCTGCCCGGTGTGCCTCTGCCCGGCCCGGTGTGCCTCGCCCGAGTGTGCCCTGCCCGGAGTCCTGCCCGGTGTGCCAGTCTTTGATATCCCGCCAGTTGCCAGACCCGGGCGGTGGAACATTTTGCCCAGCTAGGACTGTTTGGAGCGTCCTGAGGCCGCTCCTTTGAGGGGGGGGTACTGTTAGGAATGGACTGGCCAGCAATGGTGGGACTCACCTGCCTTTTGATCTGCAGTACCAGGGCTGGCCAGCGGGTGCTCCCAGCAATCAGAGACTCAACCTTTCAGCCAGCTAACACCTGGAACTGATGATACTGGTGTATTTAAGGGATGGCCAGACTTGCAGACTCTGCCTTGGTGTTGTGTTTGTCCTGGGCCCTGTATCTGTCCTGCATCCTGTTTCTGTTCCTTTGCTGACTTCTCCTGCTCTGATCCTGGCTTGTGACCCTGACCATCCCTCTGTCTGACCCTCTGTACTACGCTGCTTGCTACCTGTTCTGATCCCTGGCTTGTGACCCGGACCATCCCTCTGCCTGACCTCTGTACTATGCTGCTTGCTACCTGCTGAACCTGGCCTGTGACCCCGACCATTCTCCGCTTGCTCCCCCTGTACCTACCTGCCCAATTGATATTGACCCGGCCTGCCTGACGACGCTTGCTTGTATATACTGTTATCTGTGGGTGGTTTGGTTTGGTTTGTTTGCACTGTATTATGTTTTAGTATTGCACTGCGTTTATGTTTGTACTGTTAGTGTTAATAAATTATATTGTTTATAACATATCTGAGGTCTGCGTTTCCCTGCTTCAGTTCACCATCATACTAGTGTCCTGATCACCACCATACTAGTGTCCTAATCACCATCATACTAGTGTCCTGATCACCACCATACTAGTGTCCTGATCACCATCATACTAGTGTCCTGATCACCACCATACTAGTGTCCTAATCACCATCATACTAGTGTCCTGATCACCACCATACTAGTGTCCTAATCACCATCATACTAGTGTCCTGATCACCACCACACCATGTCCTGATCACCACCATACTATTTTCCTGACCACCACAATACTAATGTCTTGATCACCACCATACTAGTGTCCTGATCACCACAACACCAAATCCTGATCACCATAATACTAATGTCTTGATCACCACCATACTACAGTGTGTCCTGATCACAACCATACCAGTGTCCTGACCAACACCATATTAGTGTCCTGATCACCGCCATACTAGTGTCCTGATCACCGCCATACTAGTGTCCTGATCACCGCCATACTAGTGTCCTGATCACCGCCATACTAGTGTCCTGATCACCGCCATACTAGTGTCCTGATCACCGCCATACTAGTGTCCTGATCACCGCCATACTAGTGTCCTGATCACCGCCATACTAGTGTCCTGATCACCACCATACTAGTGTCCTGATCACCGCCATACTAGTGTCCTGATCACCGCCATACTAGTGTCCTGACCACCACCAAACTAGTGTCCTGATCACCACCATACTACTGTCCTGATCACCACCATACCAGTGTCCTGATCTCCGCCATACTAGTGTCCTGATCACCACCATACTACTGTCCTAATCACCACCATACTAGTGTCCTGATCATCACCATACTAGTGTCCTGATCACCACCATACTAGTGTCCTGATCACCACAACACCACATCCTGATCCCCACCATACTATTATCCTGATCACCATCACACCATATCCTGATCACCGCCATACTAGCATCCTGATCACCACCATACAAGTATCTTGATCACCAGCATACTAGTATCTGGATCACTGCCACACCATGTCCTGGTCACTACCATAAGAGTGTGTCCTGATCATCGCCATACTAGTGTCTTGATCACTGCCACACCACAGCCTGATCATCACAATTCCAGTGTGTCCTATTCACCACAGCTCAATACCTCCCTGTTGCATGGCAACCACCAGCAATGCAATACCTCCCTGTGGCATTGCTAGCACCAGCAGTGCAGTTCACCTAAGTAACAGGCCTCCAAAAAGTATGATAGGTAGTCAGGAAATTAGATGTGTTAACTTATGCCCCTAAAAAGCCTGAAGGTGCTCCTTGGATGTTGGGCCTCTCTGTGTGGCTAGGCAGTGAAAAAGTCTCACAAGTGGCATCACCATACTCGGGTGAAGGACTAGAATGTGTTTTGGGTTTAATTTTAAGCATGTCTTTGCTGTGTATTAGAGATTTATATTTTCTGTCCACATGTTCCAAAAACTTGTGGCAAAAAAATGACATTTTCAAAAGACTCATTATGCTACATAGATACATAGTTAGTCTGGCTGAAAAAAGACAAAAGTCCATCCAGTTCAATCATAAAAAAAAGTTATAATACTACTGTGACGGAAGTGTAGGCAGGACAGAACACACAAAGAAGATGGTAAACACACAAAGCTTTATTGAACTATGGGAGGCACTCAATCGGAGCAGCTCTTGGCACTTTGCAACATGCGGCTTGTAGGGACACTCACGGTAAGCGGGTTCATGGGGACTCAACAGGGCCTTGGCTATGGGGTCTGACCTCAGCACAACCCCCACACAGCTTTCTAGGGACAACATCAGGCTCACAGGGACTCAGTGGGACCTTGACTGTGGGGCCTGACCTCAGCATAGCTCCCACACAGCTTTCCAGGGACAACAGCAGTCTCAAGGGGACTCAGTGGGACTTTGGCTGTGGGGCCTGACCTCAGCACAGCTCCCACAAAGCTTTCTAGGGACAACAGCAGCCTCAAGGGGACTCAGTGAGACTTTGGCTGTGGGGCCTGACCTCAGCGCAGCTCCCACACAGCTTTCCAGGGACAACAGCAGCCTCACGGGGACTCAACGGAACTTTGGCTGTGGGGCCTGACCTCAGCACTGTTGGGAATGCAACAGCATGTACTATATAGTATTGTGTGTTAATATTACTTGACCAGTAGATGGCGCTGTACACTAAGTTTACTAGTTGTGCATATGTGTAAAAACTTGTGGTTCTCTCTCTCCCTTCCTCTTCCTCTCTCTCTCTCTCAAAAACCAAGATGTCTGCTGAAATGTGTTCTGTAATGTT